ATTCATAGCGTTTCTTGTCACTATACTTTAGTTCCAAACACAGCTGTACTTTCAGAAGACCATGACACACACACACACTCATCAGGGAACTGGTCTCATTACTAAAACAGAAAAGCTCTTTCTGTGTCGAGAATGTCCGACATTTTAATGAAAGGCTAATGATTTATGTAGCTAGTGTACTGGCCACAAATGGAAGCAAATATGTCTGAAACCGTGACCAAGTGCATGGAGCCTAAAACATTATTTATAGCTATGTATGGTTTTCAACTAAACCCAGAAAAACTGTTCTGATATTTAGAAATTATTTATCTAATAAAGACATTTTCCATGAAAGGCCAGGTTACAGACATATCTGAATAATATACATATTCAGACAGGAACAACAGTTATGTATCAGTGTATTACGTTCAAAATGGTATGTTATGAAGGTGTTGCATCAGTTGATTTAGCTTAAATAGTTAGTGTGTCTTCTGCATAGGAAATGGAGTTTGAAACTATTTACACAACTTGCCTTTAAGTATCTCACTTAAGGTAATTTGTACAAGTTGTCATTACATGAGAATCCTTTACATAGTTAGACTAAAGAGAGTGGATATTGATCAAAGTAATAGTTTTCGGTATATTCGTGTTATGTTATTAAGTGGAGACGTTGTTGTACTTTTAAATGGGTTTTATTAAGTATATGTAAGCTGCTATGGCAACTAGATTTTTAGCTACCTTAATTACACTATATTGTTGTACTTTTATATGGGTTTTATTAAGTATATATAAGCTGCTATGGCAACTAGATTTTTAGCTACCTTAATTACACTATATTGCTCTACCTTTGTTACTTTTACAAATCTAAAGTCAGTTTGATGAAGGAAGTAAATGCTGAAAATGCAGTATTTGTTCACTAAGTCAACAGAATTGTTAAGCTAGATAGCAGTCTTCTCTTTAATGGTTACTCATGAATTTCTACCTTCTTTCTCAATACTTAGTTGAATGTATGTTTGTGACACAAGCTTTCAGCTGGTGATGTTTATAAAAAAAAACTTACAGTAGTTTACCTGATGAAGTATAATGTATATTTGTATTCTCAACTTGTTTTGTAAAACTACTAATCCCACAGTACAACATATATGTGGTAGCCTTTTGCTGGGTTTCAATCAATTTACCAAGAGATGCAATATGAAGTTTGGCACATCATACACTGAACTAAATTATAATCAATTGTATTTCTTGATATAAATCTTAACTAGAAAAAAAAAAACATTAAGTCAGTAACAGATGATCATACCAACATAATTATATATTGACTGCTTATCTACAACTGTATAGTTAATTTTTTTCCATTTAATTCCTCAACTTTATACAGAAAAAGACATGTTTAGTTTTATTTTCTATACATTTTAAACCTTATGTTTTTTAAAATTTGCATTAAAAAATAGTAAAGTTTAAAACTATAACATTTCTATTAGTTTTATGCATTGAATATCGGGCAATAACACTTTCTCACAGTCAAAATTTATTTAATAAACAGAAGTGCAGTATGGTTATTTAAAAAATAATGTATTGTTTTCTTACTTTTCAAAATTAATCTCTTTATTTATTTCTTTAGCTTTTACAGCATGTTAGGCTTCCACTAATTAGGAGGGAATTTCTCCTGAAAAGAGTAGGAGAAGAGCCACTGATCCAGGATTGTCCAAAGACTAAAGATTTGCTGATTGAAGCAATGAAGTACCATCTGATGCCTGAACATCGCAGTTGCATGATGGGAGTGAGAACAACTTATCGACGACCAGAAGGACTGAAGCCTTATTTGTTTGCTATAGGTACTCTTCTGTTTGTGAATATTATTACTTCACATTTATTTTCTGTAAAGTTTACTTAGGTTTTATTTGCACATAATTAATGATATTATTAAACAAATCTATAATGTTCAGGAAATTATCGACACCTTGGAATATCAATATGCCTTCATTGGAATAATAAGATAAATCGCTATATACTGTTACATCTCTGTTCCTTTGTTAATTTCATGTAAACATTCTTTCCAAAGAACTTCAGCGATACAATTTCTTTCTTAAATAAAACTAATTTATTCTTTCTCAATACAACTTTGCAATACACTTTATTTCCACAGTCACTTTAGCTTAAACACATGCTAAAATTCACAACGATTCATGCACTTTACTTATGACTCGATTACCTGTCTCCCTATCTTTCTGTCTGCTATCCAATTATCTATGCCGTCACTTCTTCTCTCCGCTTTATTTGCCGGCTTATATATTAAAATAGAGGATGCCTAGAAAACGCTCGGGCCTTCATGATCCTTCTAGATTCTCCTGACGTTTTACCAGCGTCACGTGACTTCCACTATCATAACAATACTTTAGTGGAAAATTTGGACTTGTACTTCAGAACTGATAATTGGTAGCATAATAAAGCAATAACACGTTTCTGAGAGACACTTGGATATGATTATTCACAAATCAAACAAAACTGGTGTTGTTAAAAAGAAATTCATGATTCACATTTTTTTTATTTTTGAACTGAAATTTTGTGAAACTTCTGGTATCTTTTACATTATTTAAACTGTTAGAATAAACTGCTAAGCATACTTAATAGTAAAACTGAATGCCACAAACAGAACTGAAATGTGGATGTTTTGACTGATTTATTGACTTACTATTATACCTAAATTTGTGTTCACTTTTAATAATTTCCTGTCTTTGTCTTTTAGGTGGTGGGTCACTGTTTACCATTCACAGTGAATGTGAATATTATAACACTCGTACTGACCGCTGGGCACCACTTCCACCCACCCTACATCGTAGATCACGTGCTGGTGTAGCAGGATTGGAACGTCAAATTTATGTAGTTGGTGGGTAAGTAACAGATCACAATCTAGGCTTTGATTCAAAAATGCTGTTCAAAAGCATATGGCTTTTTATTTGGCTGTGATGGCAAAATTGTATCTTAGACAGAGTTACAGTTTTAAAAACGCACAATTCTTAAAAAACAACGATTATTTTTATACGCACGAGCCAAAAATAAAAAAATAATAATCTAGCAATGGGATGTATGGCAAAATGTTTTGCAAGACAAAAACTGAAGTTAAAAAAATGCCTTCAACAACTAGCATTTTTAATGAGGTTTAAACGAAATAAAATAACATCAAAATTCATAAAACTGGATTGGAATATTAAAAACAAGAAAGTGGAGTATCAACTTGAGCAGACTAAAAAGAAGATACTGAATATTGTAATTCGACAAAAAATTATGCACAAAAATATTGCTACATGAAAAACTACATTGGACAAAAAGTTAAAAACTTTATTAATTCAGAAAAAAGAAGTGTATGAAGAACATTATAAACTATATTCATTGCCAGATAAATACAATATTTTTTTAAATAACCCTAAAGTCATAAATAAATCTGATTTAATAATAAATGATAAACAGATTGATGTTTTAAACAGAGGTTTAAATTTCTCATTTGGTCCAAATAAAGGTTTTAAAAAAGATATAACTGAAATTGAGACTAACTTGAAAAAATTAAATGATCAAAAAGTGCATATTATTAGAAGTGAATGTTGCACTTTATTAAATAATTTTAAGTTTAAAGATAATAATAAAAAGGACTTTGAAATTTTGAAAAATTTAAAGGAACAAAATGTTGTCATTTGCAAGGTCGATGAAGGGGGACAAACTGTTATTCTTAATAAAAATGATTACGATTCTAAAGTTGACGAAATTTTGAAAGAAGGTCCGTATGAGAACATTAAACTTAATCCAATAAATAAACTCCATACAATAGTTAAAGAAAAAATTAAAAGTTGTATAACTCCAACACCTTATGAAAAGCAAAATTTAATTCCCAGTAACTTTATTTTACCTAGATTATATGCCTTGCCTAAAGTTCATAAGATTGGTAATAATTTCAGACCTATTGTATCCAATATTAAGAGTTCAACTTATAATGTAGCAAAACTTGTATCTAAAAAATTCTCATTTTTAAGGGATAAAAATAAATACGTGGTTAAGAATTTGTGGAAAGAATTGAGCATATAATTTTAGATCAGAAAGATATTTTGGTGTCATTTGATGTTGTGTCAATGTTCACCAAAGTACCTGTGACAAAAGCTATTGAATGTTTTGAGACAAAAATGAAAGAAAATAATAATTCAGTCTTAGAAATAATGTATATAATTAACCTGTTAGAAGTATGTGTTGAAAACTCATTTTTCCAAATTAATAGCAAAGTTTATAAACAGAACAAGGGTTTAGCTATGGGTTCTCCTTTATCTCTGTTATTATGTGATTTATTTATGAACAGTTTTAAAAGTGAAGCACTAGAAAAAGCAGATAAAAAACCTGAAGTTTGGTTAAGATATGTAGATGATACATTTTTGATTTGGCAGTATGGTAAAGATGAACTAGCTAATTTTGCTGATTACCTTAATAACATTGATAATTCTATAAGGTTTAATTATGAAGTTGAGATAAATGGTTGTTTACTTTTTTTGGATGATTTAGTGAGTAAAAATAAGGATAAATTGGAAACTACCATTTATCGTAAACTTTTCTCTGTAATCATTCCGCCACATCAACAATCTTGTCACACTACATCTCACTACATTTTACTCTTAGGTGGATAGGATATTAAAATTATGTTGTAAACAAGATGATATCAATAATGAGTTCTTGTTAATTTAAGCACATAGCAGTGGGAAGAGGTTTTAATCCAGGTGTTTTTGACAGAGCTGTCATAAAACTAAAAAACAGGGATAAAAATATTAAGTTAAAACCATTTGCTGAGAAAAGTAAGAAAGAATGTTTAGTACTATCATGTATAACTGGTTATTTATATATTATACTGGTTATCTGTTATTTACTCTCCTCATGTACAAACTGTTGCTAAATCAGTAATAGTTGATAACTCTAGCATCAAATACATAATACCATGTTGGATGGCACTCTGTAAAACGAGGTGGCATGTGCACTTTGACACTCGACCATGCACGTACGGTTAATAGTTTGTGATTTCTGCAAGAAAGGAGCACAGTATTTATTTTTTGCTTTTATCGTTTCAAAACTAACTAGCATATTGAATGATTTATCTATCAGTATTTTTATAGATGAAACCGTGGTTTGGTGAATGATCGGGCTAAGCTAGCTTTGACACTCGACCATGCACGTACGGTTAATAGTTTGTGATTTCTGCAAGAAAGGAGCACAGTATTTATTTTTTGCTTTTATCGTTTCAAAACTAACTAGCATATTGAATGATTTATTTATCAGTATTTTTATAGATGAAACCGTGGTTTGGTGAATGATCGGGCTAAGCTAGCTTTGACACTCGACCATGCACGTACGGTTTATAGTTTGTGATTTCTGCAAGAAAGGAGCACAGTATTTATTTTCTGCTTTTATCGTTTCAAAACTAACTAGCATACTGAATGATTTATCTATCAGTATTTTTATAGATGAAACCGTGGTTTGGTGAATGATCGGGCTAAGCTAGCAGCTTAACATGAAATGTGCATTGTTCCAACCATTCTCCTACTAACCAAAATGCATGTGGATTGATTGTGTACATCTTCAAGTATGATAAATGTCCATAACTTCCTGTTATTTTAAATATACAAGTTGACTCAGATATGAGAAAGATATTTCAGTCAGAAGATGCTTGTGTGTATGTTGTTGTTTTATTAACACAAGGAGCTATCTGTGGTCTGTACATTACGGGGGAGATCAGATTTTATAGTTGTAAGACCACAGATAGCTCCTTGTGTTAATAAAACAACAACATACACACAAGCATCTTCTGACTGAAATATCTTTCTCACTACATGTGTAATGTTTGGTCAGCAGTAAGTTTACAAACAGTACATTACAGGGGGGATCAGATTTTATAGTTGTATGTTTGTAAACTTACTGCTGACCAAACATTACACATGTAGTGAGAAAGATATTTCAGTCAGAAGATGCTTGTGTGTAAGTTGTTTTATTAACACAAGGAGCTATCTGTGGTCTGTACATTACGGGGGGATCAGATTTTATAGTTGTAAGTTTGTAAACTTACTGGTGACCAAACATTACACATGTAGTCAGAAAGCTAAACTTTTGTTAAACAAGGGGAAGTGATTTGCCTGTACACTATAAAGTACCACAGGTAAGCTGACTTCATCGGTGGCAGAGCTATGTTGTTAAAAGGTTAATAAAGTGAAAAACTGGTATTTTTGAAAAATGAGTAATATTTTCAAAAATAGATTTAAACTTTTTCTCAAGTTATTGTGCAACAGAATGTGTTTAAGTATAACATTATTTGATATTCTGTCTTTCCGGTGTTGTCATCCTGTACATGGATATGTGTGAAAGCAATAAAACAGATAAACTTGGTCCCTTTTATGTCTGCAGGGGAGTGGGTGGCTACTTGTAAAGAAATTTACATATCTACATACATATTTTTATAATCTGAAAGGCTTCTTGACTGTAAAATATATGACAACTTAAAAACGTTTTTGGCATTTGTATGATAAATAAATGGCAATTTCTGCCCATAAGTAATGGATACAGGTTTTCTTAGTGCTCATTTGACAGATTACAACTGTCAGAATATATATATTATAATTGTAACACCTGTTATATCTTTTATAATAGTAAATTAACTTTCTATCACTTGTGTTTACAGGTTTGTGTTAAGTAGAGTCAACTGAGTATTGTGCCATCCATTCTAGCAATACCCCACCTAATATCACTTTATGACATAATAGCTTGAGATGCTGTAAGACAAAGAAGGATGAATAAAGTCACTGCTATGCTCATTAAACCATTAATTGTGGATTATGTATTACTATCTATCAGTGGAAATGTAAAATTGTGGTCGGAATAATTCTAGAGGCTATGTAGTATGTATGGGGCTCTTGAGTCTTTTTTTTAACTCACCATTTAGTAACCTAATTTAACCCATTAACTGCGGATGACAGATATTTCCGTCATTGAAGTTCCATGGCTCAGCTGCGAATGACGGAAATATCCATCACTCTATGTGAATGACGATAATTACCATTTTATTGTGATTGATGGCAACTCAGTTTTATCTGTGAGTCAAAAAATGGCAACTGAGCTGCTCCTGCAGCAGTTAATGGGTTAATTTAGGTGTGTGGCTATTATTATGGCATTGTGCCTAATTTATTATACAATAGGTTATGGTTATTCACCCTTCTAATGAAATCAAAGAACTCAACCCCTGTCATATAAATGTTCCCCACACCATTATGTTACCTCCAGTGGTGCATTGTCAGTGTAAAATACAAGTAGGGTTAAGTGTCTCATGTGGATTTCATCATATCTTTACTATGCTGTAAATACAAAAAAAAAAGGGGAGTCAGAACATAATTGGCAGACTATACATATCCTGTCATTCTTTATCTACACTTTGTTCTCTAAGATTTACTGAATCTAAGCTTTCTTGTTTACAGAACATAATTGGCAGACTGTACATATCCTGTCATTCTTTATCTACACTTTGTTCTGTAAGATTTACTGAATCTAAGCTTTCTTGTTTACAGAACATAATTGGCAGACTGTACATATCCTGTCATTCTTTATCTACACTTTGTTCTCTAAGATTTACTGAATCTAAGCTTTCTTGTTTACAGCTGTAATAAGTGGCTTTCAAATTAATTGTTAACTGTCAAGTGAAAGATTTACTAATGTCATTGCAAAGTATGGGTGAAAATAGTAAAATTCTGATCACTATTGATCAATTGGGAGACTTTACAAGATGATTGGTTTTCTTCTGTTAATCAGTCCCCAGCAGTTGGAGGCCTCAAATTATTCCTAGTGGCAGATGTAGTCCACTGTAATTATTAAAAAAGTAGAAAAGAAAGTACTATTCATAATAATTATATATCTTAAACAGTATGTAGCGTACAGCCAAAAATATTTCAGTTGTAAAACAACAACGTTAATGAAATTGTTTTTTGTATGTATTTTCATCACAAGATTTTGAAGCGTTTTATTTAATTTTTTCTTTAAAATAAGGAATATTTTATTCATAGTAATTTATCAGTAAAGTCATTAGAGCCATCATCAAGTAATCAACTTCACTTGTTTTAAAATAATAGATACTTTGGTTCCTTCTTTTTCTAAGAATATGTTCAAAAAGAATTAAAACAGACAAAATAAAGCTATAGCTGACGTTTATCCTCTGTATTCAAATATACAAGTATTATTTGACAATAGATTTTATTTAATCTTCTTCTTTCTATTTTGAAATTAAGCTATTCTGAGTAAACTTATATGTGTTCTTTGGGTAATTAAATCAAGTATTGGTTTTAGTATTAATATTTGACTTGTCATAAGACATTCATGTTAGGCCTATTATATTTTTAAAGAGTGTATGATAATAGTATTCCAACCAAACTACATTTGTCATATCCATTACTGACAACAAGTTTCCCTCAATCCAGATCTCATCAGGCAAGCTGGAATACAACAAACACAAGAGTGGTCAGAACACTCTTTATATAAGCCATTTGTAACAACAATAATTTTTACTGTGTGTACGACTTTAGTATTAGATCTATTATATTTTTAAACTCTAAATTCTATATCTAGTCCCTAGAATTAAAAGAGTGTATAATAAAAGTATTCCAACCACACTATATTTGTTGCATCCACTGCTGACAATGCATTTTGGTCAAACTGGAACTCTTCAGGCTGACTAGGATACAACAAAAATTGTTATGGTGTTTACTATTATTATATATTCTTTTTAGTTCTTGAAAATCCCTAAGAAATTAGATTGAAAATGTAGTGTTTGAAAACATAACAGGCCTAATACGAATGTCTTATGACAAGTCAAATATTAATAATTTTTTTATTGGTTTGTAAAAGGTATATACACCATTACAATTGTTCTTTGAATAATTAAGTCCTTTTGGTTTCAATATTAATAACATTCTCACAGCATCAGATATCAATGAGCCTACTTATGTACACTCATAATCTACTGTAACTATTAGTTTATTTTGTCACTACTTTAGCATACATTTAATTTTTATTAAGAACTTGACGAGTGGTAACTTAAAACCTTTAAACTGTGTGATAAAGGTACGATGGAACAAAGGATTTGGCATCTGCAGAGTGCTTCAGTTCTCTGACGAATACCTGGCAGCCCATATGCAGTATGGGATCGAAGAGAAGCTGTCTAGGTATATCCTCTTTAAATGGATTACTTTATGTTGGAGGAGGGTATGATGGTGCCTCCTGCTTAAATAGTTTGGAGTGTTATGACCCCCTGATTGGAACATGGTCCTCTATGGTAGCCATGGAAACCAGAAGAAGGTACACCCGATTGGCTGTTTTGGGTAAGTTGTTGAACTGGTGCACACATATTGATAATCAAATGTATAAATACATAGTTTATTTTTTATAATACTGTTGATAAACCTTTTAAGCCTTGAGATTTTTGTTCACTTCTTAGTACAACAGATGAGATTAATGCTACAAATGTCAACTTAACTCCCGAGTGAAAGAAACATAAATGTATAATGCATTCTCTGAAAACATACCTCTCTTAGTTATAGATCTATGTAACAAGTAAGCTATAGATTATTCCTTGTTATAAAATACTTACTAAAAACATTAATGGCTTTCATTGAACTAATGATGGATAGCAAAAAATAAGTTGGTTCACATTTAAAGGATGTTTTCAGAAAAAAAAATAATATTTCCATTGTAATTACTGAATACGATAACACCCTTATACAAGACTCCAAAAGTTACAACCAGAACAAAGATGTGATTAATACTTTAGCAACAACAAAAGACTTGAACTTTATGCCACTTTAATGAGTAGAAAGACTATAGATCTGTGGTAGGAACAACTTTTATTAAACTTTTTTTATACAATTTGTGTCTGAAAAATAAAATGTTCATTCTGTGTTCTGGACATATTTACTTAAATATGCAGTTTATAATAATATTAACTTGTGATCAGAGTGAGCAAAACTAAAAATAAGCTTGACCATCCATATAGTTAATTAAATATACTTTTCTTGTGTATCTGCATTAGAATGCATAGTTTTGCTGTTAACTTTAGTTTTGGCCATAAACCCAGTAACGTCAATGCATAGTTTTGCTGTTAACTTTAGTTTTGGCCATAAACCCAGTAACGTCTCATGTGGTTCACCCAACTTATGAGATTTAGGCTCGTTCTAAATATAAATTTTTATAATAAAAATATAATAGTGAATGGCAAGTTAAAATAACATTTGACAGGATAACTGATATTATTAATGAAAGGAACAATAAATAAGTTAGCACATCTTAATTAAGGAACCCCAAAATACTAGTTCTTGCTGTGAACCACAGATGTTGATGTATATTCCTTTGGAAACTTTCTCCTGACAACATACTTAGCATGAGAGAACAATGAAACCGTAACTTTAATATTTTATTTCTGACATTTACGGGCATTAATTATCTGCGTGAGTTGATCAAGATTACATCCAATATGCAATCGGTAATCACAAGATGAAATTATCTCTTACAGATGAATGTCTGTATGCTATTGGAGGATATGATGGAGCCAATTACCTGTCATCTGTAGAAAGATTAGATCCAAGAGTAAGTGTGGGAGTATTTTTAGTTAAGACACCTTTTAATCTCTTCATATGAACTTTTGATTTATATATTAATTTTACCAACTCACTCATGAAAGTACCTGTAGTCTATATGTTATTAAATTTGTATATGACTCATTTTAAAGTATTACAAAATAGAGTTATGCTAATATTGTCATGTAGGTCTCCAGATGACTTTGTAGTAACAGCTGGTTTTTATACCAGATGTTATAAATATGTCAGACACACTACATTTGCCATATCCAGTTACAGCAAGGCTTTTGCCCAATACCTAAGTTCATCAGATCAGCTGAGCTGCGATGGACATTGTTTGTTTTAAGTTAAGCACAGAGCTACACAATGGGCTATCTGTGCTCTGCCCACCACGGGTATCAAAACCCGGATTCAAGGGGTTGTAAGTCCGCAGACATACCGCTGTGCTACTGGAGGGCACGATGGACATAGCATTATCTATTTATCTATCAGTTTTCCGGAACTACAACTGTCATGGTGTGAACCTAATTAAGCAAGTGACTTTTAATTATTATCATTTCTATTTAAATCATTTATAAATCAGATTCTTGGGTAAGAATTAATAATGTAACATTATTCATTTTATTTTAACACTGTTTATTTTATTTATTAGAATTAACTTTACTATCATTCATAAAAACTAGCAAGCTAAGCTTTTTGTTATTTAGTATAAGTAACATATATAGATGGTAAAAAGTAATTTCTGTTTATCACTAACTGTTCTAACATTAAACAGGTCAGAACCAAGAGTTACTGGTTTATGATAATGCAAGACAAAAACTAGCAAGCTAAGCCTCTTGTTAGTTAGGTTAAGTAACATATACAGATGGTAATAAGTAATTTCTATTTATCACTAACTGTTCTAACATTAAACAGGTCAGAACCAAGAGTTACTGGTTTATGATGATGCAACCGTATATTGCTGTTCTAAGCCTACTTTCAAGTTGAACAGTTTTATTCTATTCGTTTCTAGAAGAAATTTCTAAGCTTCATTGAGCTCAAAATCTCCAGTGATTTTCAACAATTCTCTTAGGAAATGAAAGTAACAAGATTTTTTTTAAAGCAATCCTGTTTTCTGTGAACATTGTAATTAAAACATACTTTCTGAATGTTTATACTCGCACTCTTAAAACTTTCATTTGTGTCCTTAATTATTAACAACCGTGAAGTTATCTATCACTAGCTGTTCACACCCATGAATGCCACTGTTTCCAAATATGGCTTTTTCGTTCATTATCACTTTGTAATTAACACCGCTTGAAAATATTATAGCAACTGTATTCTCACTCTTACAGCTTGGGTAATTTTTCCTGTTTAATATTTTTTGCAATGTGTGAGAACATATCTGGTGAACTCGTTACGAAGTAAGGGATATATTAAATGTTGAAACACGGGACCAACACACAGTTTGAAATCTTTTTCAACAAGAACATTTTAGTCAGTTAAAACATCCCTTCTTTTATGCTTTAGGTCTGACTCGTATACATTCCATAGTTACGTTAGAAAATACAAGTACATTTTCGAATTTACAAAAATCCCTAAAGCCAGCATGAAACTACAAGTTAGAAGAATTGCTCATCAGGTGAAACATAGCATCTAATTCAGAAGAACATACTGACACAACATATTCAGACATTCTAGATCTCAACACCGGTAACTTATTGTAACTACATCTCAACAGTATCATAAATTGTTATGTAAAACTAGCAAATAGTAAAGTGTTTAGGATTTTGTTTTCATGTTGTTCATCTTCTGAACTTGAAGAATGATATTTTAACACCCTCATCAGATCTGTCAGCTGTATATGTTTTTTAAAAGTTTAATTAAGAGTATATTTATGTGGACTGAATATGAGATATGATAAGCTAAAGAGAACCCAAGTTTAAGAAATCCTGCAATCTTTTTTTTTAATACAAACAGTATATTTTCACTAGGAGGGAAAATGGACTTCAGTCACACCTATGATCAACAGACGCAGCAGCTGTGGAGTGGCAGCCTTAAATGGCTCAATTTATGTTATAGGGGGTAACGATGGAAGTTTGTGTATGTGCAGCGTGGAAACCTATGACCCTCGTAGAACAGCATGGGATGCTGTAGCTTCCATGAATTCTCGCAGGTAAAATGTATTCCCTTTCTTGATTAAAAAAATACCCATAGAAAAATAACTTTTAATAGCTTAAGATCTCTTAGTAATGTTTTTTTATATTGCAATCAAAAGTTTCTTTGTTTGAGAACCAAGATAAAAATTTTAGTCTTTTACTTACTGTTTATATCATTTTGTGTACCTTTTCATCTGTTTTGAAAATAATTAATCCAGTACTGCACCAAAGTGTCTCTCGTACCTCATCAGAGTGTGGTATCTACACCATAAATTTGTCTTTGAATCTGACCAGAGAATTAAATACTAATCTAAGATCATATTGCATCTTAACTGTATTTTTCTATCTGCCCAAAGAATTAAAGAGCTTCCACCCCTTTATTCTGTCCTCAGAAGTACATGCTCCAGACTTGGACAGTTCAAAACTGTTGCTCCAACACTGCTCCGACGAAGCATCATTGAAGTAACTAACATCCATTTGTTGTGTCTAGGGTCGTATCGTTCAACAGTATTCAGGCTAGAGCTTCCGTCGTTTCCACCAATTGCATAGAGGTACCCCTCTGCTTGCACTACTTCATGTGTACTTCTGTAAACAAATCGCATGTTATTACAGAAGTGGTTTACAATAGCCGTGATGCAAGACTCTTTTAATTTGGAACATATAATTATTGCACCTTTATGAAAATAAAACAAAATTAAAGGAACACGGGAAACCTTCAACAAGATTGAAATACATAGAATTATCCAAATATTCATTAACTTCATTAACAATAAGACTAGAAGTTTCATCAATATTACAATCGTGCAGAATTCCAATCTAACTAGATCAGGCTGAAATGTTCCTTTTTGAAACATCTGTTGTAGGTTTGATTTAAAGACTGTTCTATAGAGCTTAGACACAGTCTGAATAAAATATTCCTCACAAGAAAATTTCACTGTAGGCATTGTTAAAGAAAGGGTGATATTAGAATTTTGATATATTCATCTAGTTATGTTCTGGTTGAAACCATTGGTACTTGAATGTGAACTGGAAATGAAATAAAATTTTAACATGTGGTTTGGACCAAAGTGAATACCATGGTTAGATACACAATATTAAGTAACATCACTTAATATATTAAAAGTCACATATAGGTTATTGCCCATTCATTCCAACCCACAAACACGTAAGACATCTTTAGTGCATGTGGAAATGCAAATTAAGGACATCTTTTGTTCATTTTTAAACTTAGAAACTTCTGATACATAGTTTTGAAAACTAGTAAAACTGAAATTTCAAATTGCTCTATTAAGTTTAATAACATTATTTTTATAACATTCTTCACTTCCTTCAAGGAAGCCCATTTCAGAAGTTAATGGAATACCATTCATGTGATACTAGAGTAGTAGATTATAATCTAACGACTGAAGGTTTGCTCAATTGTCTTGAAACACATCAAGTAACTGTATTGTTACAGTAGTCTTGCGAGTTCAACATAGTAAAACAACAAACTTTGAAACATTACAGCATTGGGATTGAAGGGACCTTCTGATTAAACAAAAATATAGTGTTGTAAAATAAGAGACAATCGATCTTTACACTTCTAAATCACGTAATACTGAGACAAGTCTTTTTATAACAAGAAAACAAGCCCGTAATGAAATCAAATTCATACCATAATGAACTGAAAGTTGCAGTTTCAAGCTAGTTAACTTGATGATAATGGTTGCCTTCGAACAAAAACTTGGATAGCTTTAGGTGTAGAAACATTGCTTAGCATAGCCACTGCAAAGTGAACAGAATCAGATGAAGATCTTTGAGCTCCTTCTCAAGTTTAAATAACACACATCAGTTATTTTAATTTAAAAATGTACCATAACTCTCATCAGTGCAATAACATGTGAAGCTAATTACATTACTTAGCTTATAAGGCGATTTTTTTGCATTAATTAACAACTATGGGTTTTCACACACGTTTGTATATTGATTTCCCTGACTATATTATCAAATTGTTACCAACGAAAACTATCCACCAGTACTTTTAACTTTCATCATCCACCTAGATACAGCCAGGGTCATTAGTCCCTGTTCAGCATTACTAAATGCTGCTATAACACTGCAAACTACATAGACTTTCAGGATGAAGTTGCCTTTAAGTCTCAACTGTACTAGATGTAAAATATCTTTTCACTTCCTTATTTCATGTTTTGTGATATAGAAATTTACTTTCCCAACTAATTAGTCCAATTACCTTCATTTCCCAGCTCATTGTCTTGAATTTTTAAAAGGTCAGTAATGATTTCCTGGTCTTGTGTGGCATTAAGCAGTTTGAGGCATATTTCTAAAGGTTAACCAACAGTTGAACTACTAGTGAAGTATCTTTGTCACTAATGTTTTCGACAACACTTGTTACGTACAATTTCTTTACATTAGGATTGAGGAAATATCATTTTTCATTACATTCCAAACTTGCTTTTATAACATTTGTTCCTGAATAGGTTCAAGTATTTTTTTTCTTTTGATTTTTTTTTATATAAACAATTTTAAGTTTGTAACAATTATTATACGAGACAAAAAAAAAAAGTTATTTCATTTTTCAAAACACTTTGTAACTTACCTCTTGAGCACATCATACAGTTGTATGAAAGTAAAACTACCTTCTTAGCAAAGTAGTTTTACTGGCTTTTAACACATTTATTTGTGTATCTTAAAAGATGGAAATAAAAAAAAGCCTTCTTTAAAGTGTTTTTCTTTTTTTATGTTTGTAAATCATTGTATCAAGATGGGTTTGAGAAAGTATTAAAACAGAAATTATGATTCACTTCAAGGAGTACCGTGTACTGAACATTTGTTTAATCAATAAATCCATCATTACAAAGCCAAATTTGACTTTCAGAATTATTTCATTGAAACAAATAAACTAGAATTTTTAATCTGTGGTATTGATGATATGTTATTAAGCCTCCTAGCTTTAACCACCTTCGAACATTTAATAATACACCATCTGTAACTTCTCGTTTCATGGACTGGTACCGGCTTCATCAACTCCAGACTACCGCTTCTCGGTCACTAATCACACAACTTATAACCCCGAAGAACAGTCAACTAAAGTATTTGATCAGTAACATATTTAGCTTAGTTTTAATGAATGATTTACAAATATTTTTAATAAAACATTTTAACAGTGATAACTGACAGGTATTGAAGTTAAATTTCATCTGCGTTCTCTATTTTACCAATAAGTTCAGACTAAGTAATTAGATGTTGTTTAATATTAAGTACTACCAAAACTATATTACTTCAATACAAGTTCAAAAGTTTTGTATCTAAAAGTTCTTTGTCAGACAACTGGTGCATTGTTTTATTAACTAAAAGTTCTTTGTCAGACAACTGGTGCATTGTTTTATTAACTAAAAGTTCTATGTCAGACAACTGGTGCATTGTTTTATTAACTAAAAGTTCTATGTCAGACAACTGGTGCATTGTTTTATTAA